ATCTTAAACAATCTAATACTCTTTCAAATAAAATAATAGATATGAACTATCATAAAAAACGAACAGTAAAATTGTTTGTAAATACAAAAGAAAAAATATTTTTAGAAACAGATGTTAACAAATTAGAAAACTATATGAAGCAAAATACCAAATGGTCTGATTACCAAAAAAAGTAAATTATCAGAATATACCAAACACACTTTAAAAAATCTAAATCTTTATAATAAGCTGAAAACCCAAATAATTAACTGTGAAAATATCGATGAAATAGAACATGATATCATGCGAAAATTCAAAAAATTATCTCACATGATGAATTTAAAATTAAAAATCGATTTATTTCAACATATCAAAATAAATTTTTAAATTTACATAAAGATCTTGATATCATAAATGAAGATAATATAGAAGATATGATAAAAAATAAAATAAGATATTTATTATTAAACACACGTAATGCTTATGATGAAAAAATAAATTCCTTAATTGATGATCTCATCTCTCATGCAGAATATCAAAAATTTTGACAAACAATTTTCAATACCTTATTCAAATACGAAACAAATATCAAATTAAACACATACCTTGATCTCACATCACATAACACCACAAGTAATTTTATCAATTTTTGTTTGAAAGAAATCGAGTTTATTTTAGAGATCGGGTATTATTCATTAGGAAACAACACCATTCTATATAATAGTAACAAACAAATATTAATACCTGATTATAAAAATAAAATTAATCAAATCAATAATTTATAATGAAATCAAATACAAAGAAATTGAAAAAGAAATCATATATGAAAATGATATAAATATATTGATTAATAATAAAAAATACGATACGAAAATAGAAACTGTAAACTACAGAATTATTAAATTGGATAAAAATTATTTACATAATTTACGTAAAAACAGATACAATAAATTAATAAAATAAAAATATATTTTATATTATTTATCGTTTTATTTTTCATCGATATCTCGACAGAAAATTTAACAGATGTACGTTGTATTACAATTAAAAATAATAAAACGATAAACATATGTTCCAGAACACATGATGAATTAAATATCGTCATTGATCGATATGACCATAAATTATATACCTTTTTATTAAATTTATTACAACGTGGACTGTTGAATAAAAAATATTCTTTTGACCATATCAACTATCAACTTTTTTTTAAAGGGTTTGATTTTTACAGAGAACAAGCAGATGTGAAAACTGTACCAAAAAGTTATAAAGAAATAGGTAAAACAGGTAAAACATAGAAAGAAATCAAAAAACGTAAAAATGAAATTCCTGATAAACTATATAAAAAATTACACGATACATGTATAGATTCTTATAATTATCTAGACTTGAAACTAAAATTGATCGTTGCAACTTCATGGGAAAGTTATACAAGCAAATATAACAAATCAAGTATTAGAAAATTAGATTTATCAAAATCTTTGGAAAAAGATCTTTTAGAAATAAGAAAAAAAAGGTTAAATATTGCATTAGAAAAAAAAGATTATGTTATGAATAATATAGTCAAAAACCTAACAGAATGTCAAGACGAAAAAATTTACAACTCTCTATTACATAAATGGGAAGAAAAATCTTTTGTAGTATTTGAAGAATTTTGTAATAAAAATATGATATACAAATATAAAGATTATTTAAGTGGAAAAGAAAATAATAATATAAATGAATTATTCAAAACACAATACAGATACATCTATACCTTTCTTGCTATTAAACGAGAAATAAAAAATGCTGAATATATTAGTTACTTGGAAACCGGAATTATTCAAAAACGATTAGATAGAGATAAAAAATTTTTAACCAAAGAACAAATCGATGAATTGGAAAATGATATAAAAAAGCGAATTCAAGAATTAAAAACTGAAAAAATCTATTAAAATGCCAACAGAATATAGTTCAGAATTAGCTATACAATTACGTAAAAATATAGAAGAATCAAAAAAATTTACACAATCTTGTTTTTTTACTAAAAATGCAGAAGTTTTTGAAGCCTTACTTAACGAAATAGATAGTGGTACCGAATCTAAAGATAAATTAGACAAAATGAATGCTTTTATAAAAAAAATGTTAAAATTATATGAATGGAAAGGTAACGATGGCAAGGACGAAGTCAAAAATATAAATAATCTAGAAAAGTGCGTAGAAAATAATATTAATCTTTATTCTGGAACATAAGTTTATATAATTGCATTTCATTAATTTATGATAACAAAATATTTTACAATTGTAATTATTATTATAAACCTACATTTAAACAGGAACCCTCATTAGATCTATTTACAAATAACGTGATCGATCTGATCTTTAAAGAATATTTTGATGTATTACCAAAATATACCAAAATCGATTATGATGATATCTGGAATTTGTTTAACAAAATAAAAAATGCAATTAATTCAGAAATGAATACCGAATCACTTGAAGAAAATAAATATTATGATAATATGATTAAAAAAAATAAAGAAAAATTAAATTTTAAATATAATGATTTACAAAATATCAGAAAAACCAGACTAAAATATTTAAAAATGTATTATAACATCCTATCATCATTAGATTATATAATTGAAATATTGCAAAATAAAAAATATATTAATAAAAAAATAAATTTTGATACTAATTTTCTAAACGACCTTTTGTTAAAATTGAAAAATAAAAAACAAACAAAATTAAGTCAAAGTATTAAAATATTGGAAAATATTAAGATTTCAATTACTAAAACACATGTTCCATCTGATTTAGAATCAAATAACACAGTCTACAAAAAAATTGAACATAAAGATTCATTTTTAAGTGAAAAAAATAAAAAATTACTTCATCAACTTCGAACCGAACGATTAGAACATCTTTTGATATTTGTTAAATTAAACAGGGAAATCTAAAACCTAAAAGAATACAAGATTCCTAATTATAAAAATCACGAAAGTTTAAAATCAGACTTTCCAAATGATATTAAGCAAGAATTAAAAAAATCCCATCAAAAAAGACTCGATTTCTTAAAATATCTAAATGAAATCTAATTAAATAACGAATAGACAAAAGAAATTAAGAAAAAATTTGAAGATTACAAGAATAAATTTAATAACTTGTATAAAAACGATTCTAAAATTTTAACAGACCTAATCAACAAGGAATTGAAATTAATCGATCATTACATGTTGTATGTTGAACGAATTAACAGAATCTTTACCTTGGAAGAATTAAATAAAATAAGAACAAATAAAATCAGATCAGATACAATTTTAACTCCGAATCAAAAATTAGCTTTTTATAATAAAGAAATACCGAGAAGAATTGGTGAAATTATTGATATTATTTATGATAAAGTTTTAAATGAAATCAACAACATCAAAAACCTTGAAGATTTTATCATCGACTTGTACGGTCATGGTAAATTAACTGAAAATATTCTAGCTTTGGGTAAAAATGAACATTTGTTAAAAGATAAAAAAATATCCCTAGACAAAATTGTTAATACATTTTTAGATAATTCAATCATCGTTTTAAACAAATTTTACAGTAAAACTAATCAACAAATTCAAATTAATTCATTAAAAGACGAACAAACAAGCATCGATACAAAAATGCGTGATGGAAAATTTTACATAAGAAATTTTGACATCCATTTGTATTTTGTTAAATTTAAATTAAATGATGAAAAAACTTTTGATAAAACATCATTATTTCATACTCAAGAAATGAAAGAATATATTGATAAAATCATATTCATACATAAAGAAAACAATATTGTATATTACCAGGTTATTATAAATAGAATGAATGCTTCTACAAACAAAGAAGATTTTAAAGATTGGGGTGACTTTGATCGAAGTATTAAATATTTGGATGATAAATATTTAAAAGGAAAAAAAAACCTCAGATTTACAAGAAATCAGGAAAAAAAAATTACAAAATGTCTGAACCCATCGTTTTACCTGTTATTCCAGAAGAAGATGATAGACTTTCATATGAAAAAATAGAAATTATAGAAGACCGTGTTACAAGAATAAAAGAATGGCTTATACAAAAACGAGATTATAGAGGCAAAGCTAATACTTTTGACACAATTATAGATGATTTTTGGGGTTTAATTAACGGACGTAAATTTCAACAAGAAACTGATACTTACACTCTCGATCTTGTTAAAGAAATATGAGAATTGTATAAAATTAAAGATCCTATGTCTAACAACTTACCTGATTCAATAGAAAGATTGAAAGTTCATGCTCAACAAACAATTCTCTTTCTTCTTACACAAGAAAATAGATCTCTAAATATTAAATTGATCAAGAAAGTGATAGCAGCATAAAAAAAATATTAGAAAAATGAAAAAAATTGTTAGAAAAAAATGATAATTACAAAGATTCAGAAATTTTTAATGAATTGTCAGATGATTGGAAACAGATCATCAAAT